TACCATGTTCATGATTGGTTTCTAATCAAAGTGAATTATCAACATAAAGAATGAAAACAGTCAGGCCCCTGTGGCTCCTATCTACTCAGGAGGCAGAGATCAGGAGGTTTGCAGTTTGAAGCCAGCCTGGGCAAATAGTTCACAACACACTACCTTGAAAATACCCATCACTAAAAGGGCTGGCAGAGTGGCTGAAGGTGAAGGCCCTGAGTTTAAGCCCCAGTACCACAAAAAAAAAAAAAAAAAAGAAAGAAAAGAACTACTTTTGAAAAGCTATCTATTCTTTAACATGTATAGACATATATAAATGCATAAATATGTTAATTTATATATTGAGATAATATATTTTTTGATGAATCAGAAACTATCCTAGTTTATTAGGAACTATAAGTAAATAACACAGGCAAGATTCTTAACTCTTGGATGCAATTTTTTATCAAATTTCACTGAGAATATGAATTAAATAATTATCTGTTTGGACTGACTACATGGAGTCTCCCACCCACCATTTTGAATCCCTGAGAGCCTTGTTTGACTCACTTGAAAACAATTTTATACTCATTCTTCCATTTGTTTTATGACAGACAAAAAGAAACAAAATAAAATGGAAAAAGGAGAAAACTAAATTTATGTTTACTAAAAAAACCATCTTTGTAGGACTGTGATTAAATGTGGAATGGCAATCATCAAAAATAAAAATCATTATATAAGGAAAGACTTTCCTATTGGGAGTCTCAATTGCTAACCAACACAAAGCCTCTTATTACTGCCAGGAGGCTGCTCCCCCCATTATTGTCCTCTAGTTCTATTTAGTAGACTGTCCCTTCTCCTTGAGCTAAGCCAAGTTATTTGCTGTTTTATTCACTGTATCTCTTTGAAGGGAAGAAAAAATTGCCTTTCCTTGCTCATTACTGAACTCATGGCTGAGGCATCTATAACAAAAGCCTGATTAGTAAAGGAAAAGCAAACAAATTTAAGTTTTATGTGTCAGAAGAGCTTTTGTAAGGAAATGAAAATCCAAAGAAACCTGTTGGGTCTGAATAACTAAGGCAGATGAGTGAGTATCTCATCCCCCACAGAAAGCAATAGCATTCCTGCATCCTGAGGAAATGGAGGCTTTCATTCCTGTATCCTAAAGAAGAGATGCCAAGATATAGACCTGCTACAAGGCTAATGGGGCAAAACGCTCTCAAGATTGTTTCTTCCCACAATAAATGTGCTAACCAAACCAGTTCACCTAAGAAAGCACTTAAAATGCAAGACCAGTGAGAAAACCCCCCAACCCAGAGTTAAAAACGTCCATAAATACTCCAGCCTTAACCTGAGGAGGGAATTACTGGCTTCCAGGCTCCACTGTGCTTTTCTAGTTGTAGCCTTTCCTTTCTCTCTAATAAATCCTACTTTATACACCGGGTTTGGCTTATCATTCAGCTGCCTCATTAGCCAGTTCTCTGGCCTGTGAAGGCAAGGACCCTCGACACCATCCTGCAACACTTTGTCACTGGCACGTAACAAACATTTGCATTTTTATGCTTAGTTTTGATGGACTAAAAACTCATGGGGAAATATGATTGGTGTTAGGGTCATACCCCCCAAATGCTGTGACATACTGAGTATTTTAAACGAGGAAATCTGAGAAAACTGTAGAAACAGGTGGTCTCTCCTTCCTCCTCTCTGCTGGAGTGGGTATAGAAACTGGAAATCTCCTTGCCCTTTTCTCCCCTGAAGCAGACCATAAAACCTAGACAATCACCTTCTTCCTTTACTCTCCCTGAAGACCCTCAGGTGACAATGTTCTGCTCTACACCCAGAAGCAAGGAATGTCACAGAGAGACAAAGAAATGAATCTGAACAAACAGAACTTTCTTTGGTTTACTACTATTAGGTCATATCCTTTGTCCTCTAATGCTACTTCTGAATGACTATTCATAAACATACAGTTTTCCCCGGGTCTTTGTGAGTCTCCATGTTGGAAGGCTCCTGTATCATTAAAACTTATATGCTTTTGTCTCACTAATCTGTCTTTTGTTACAGAGGTGTTAGTCATGAACTTTCTGACAAGTGAGGAAAGGATAGTACTTTTTCTGATCTTTGTTAGACAACAAGGGCATGATCGAATGGTGGGGAATTTAGCATGGGCTGTTTTTTATTATTAATATTGTTTTTAGGGGAAGTGGAGGATAAAGGAGAATGGTGGAGGGGTAAATTCAAGGATAATATATTTGATGTAAGAAATTTTGTAGATACCACAATGTACACCCAGCACAATAATTTAAAGAAATAATAATATTAAAAAGAAAGAAAAAAATAAGATAAAAAGATACCAGGTGTAGTAGTGCACACCTGTAATACAGTTCTCCACAGGCAGAGGTAGGACAATCACAAGTTCAAGTACAGCCCAGGCCACATAGTCAGACCTTGTCTCAAAAATTCAAGGACTGGGTATGTAACTCAGTGGTATAGTGCTTGCCTAACATGCCCAGGGCCCCGGGTTTGATCCCTGGCACTGTAATAATAGAAAAGAAAAAGAGATTAAAAAAAAAAAAACTATTGTTTTTAGTTTTTCTTGGTGTTTCCATTTCCAAAGATAAGGCTGGTTTTTCCCTCTGGATATTGGAAGGGTATGTTTTACATGAGGGTCTTGTTGAGGCAAGCTAAAATTAGGAAAAGTTTGAGACTCATATAACATTACATTTAAATTGCCACACTCTGGCTCAGGAATGGCCCTCACCTAGCCAGGAAACACCAATGCCCTGCCCCATTCAATTGATTATTGGATGGGAATCACCTGGTTCCTCCCTTCCCATAGATTAGCATAAATTTTAAAAGTACCTGGGGAAGAGAAGCACTGCCTCCAGATTCCACCTGGGCCCCATCATGCTCCCTTTTTTTATTTCCCTTCCCTAATTTTTAATAAACTCCCTTTATGTCCATGTGTCCTGCCATGGATTCTTCCTTGTGGGACAAAGAATTTGGAAGATCACAGACTGCACTGGTGCCATTAACATTATGACCTGCATCAGAGGAAAAGGACAAAAGAAAAGCGAGAATGATCTTCCTGCTTCATTCTCTTCCTCAAATGACAAGGTGCTATATTTTGGGGTAGAGTATTATGAATCTCATCACCCTGTTTTCAGAAGATTAAATGACTGAACTGGAAGACTGATGAATGTTAAGATAAGATTTACACGACTACTGTACAATATGTTATGCACAGTCTTGTGTCAGTAAGACTTTTGTGATAGACTGGGGAAGGTGCAGAAACTCATTTTACTCTCCATTGAGTTCTCTTATATGTTGAGTTTTGTTCAACAGTGAGAACTGCATAGTCCTCAGCAAGTAACAACTCCTCCCAAACTCTCCACTAAGAGACTTGACAGACTCCAGCATGGCTTCCTAGCAACCCAAGGCTTTGTTCACAGGATGACTCCAAATGACTTTGGATGCCCGCTCCAGGAAGGTGATCCTGCAAGGAGAATTTACTGTCTGTTCCAGTCAAAACTTAGTTATGCACAGGCCCCTAAATCCATTCTTAAAGAAGTTATTTTAGAAACCTTGTGATATTAAACTCTTTCTTTGCCCTTTGTGATGTAAATCTACCACACAGAGCAGTTTCTTCAAGACCTGTTTCTTTGAAGTGCAGATGTGAAGGACAATAATTCTTGCTTGTCTCTCCCAACTGGGAGCACAAAGGCCAGCTAAGAAAGTGGATGCATTGCTTCAATTCCTACTGCTGCCTTCTGCCATAAAGGTAGAAGTCTGTCTCTTCTAATAAACACCAATTAACAAATTCATATGGCTAGTCGCACTGATTAATCCTACTCAACACTAGTCAGGAAATGATCCTGACTATTTATTGAGCATACCTCAAACTTTAAGCAGTCTTTGACATTGTGTTTTGGGGAAGTTGAGTCCAGTTCATACTGGACCCTCTTCCCTATTGGAATAGTATTCCTGAATGAAATTTATCCACATCATTTTATATAGCAATAGTCAAATGCTTCCTGCATTCTGCTCATTTGAAGTCTGGTAAATGAGTTGGGCACCTTTCTAGTTTCCAGCAAGGACAAATGCTTTTCATATTGAACTGATATGACTGATTTGAGCATTCCTGTGGAAATAGGAGGAGAAAAAAGAATCAGACATTGAGCTTAACACTTAATTCCCAGCATGCTATATTACCCATTACTAATAATATAAATATCTAGAACAGTGAAGGCATTGTATGTAGCACAGCAGAAAAGATCATGAGTTTTGTAGCAAGAACAGACTTTGGTCCAATTCTTTCTCTAATTTTTAAATTAGCTTTAAGTTTTCTGTTTGAAAATAGGAGTAATATCTACAATATAGAATTCTTGGAATTCTGGGATTGAATGAAAAAATGTGATGTATAGTACCTAGTTCAGAGTAATTGTTTTATAAATAATTAATACTTCTTTAGCTTTTAATCCCTTACAAATCCCAAAGAGAATTCTTTTCTCCCTGTGTTGTTACAATAATGTACCTCCTTATGGCATCTTTCTTAAACTTACCTGCAGCTTTCTTCTGTTAGGAATGAACTTTTTCATAGATGACATTTTCTGTGTATTTCCAGCTCCTGCCAATCAGAAAGTTGATTTAATAAGAGTTTATTAAGTGAACCAGTACATGAATAAATGCATGAATGTATAATTATAGCAAAATAATGTTGAACTCTGGGTACTAAAACTGAAAATTTATATAAGGATAGTCAATTAGTGATATCAAATTCAGTTGTAAGAGTAGTGAAGGCAACATAAGGCATTAGCTATGCATTTGACTTATATTTGATCTGAAACAATGACCTATCTACTATTCAGGCTTTCTGTTTTCTTAAGAATTTGCAGCCCCAGAAAAAGGATATAAAGGCAAAAATGGGAAATTACTACAGTATGCTTTTCAGTTCCTGCTTTTGGGTGTCTGGCTAGATTACTTAAGCTCAACTTCTTGAATCTCAGTGGAACTTTCCCCACATGATTTGGTATAGGTCCTCATTCATCCACGCTGTCATTTTAGGAGAAAAAAGAAAAAGCACAAAAGCTGTGTCTGTTTATGATCCTATAGAACAATGGAGTACCATACTCATTTGGAAAATTTGGATGAAGATGGGTATACTAAGTTAGACTTTCACTCTAAAGGCACTGCCAACAGACCTGTATCAGAGAAAGGTACGGTTTTTTTCTCTTTCTTCCTTTAGTACTTTCATTCTCATCAACTAACATATTAAAGTAGAGAAAATTTGAGAGACTCATTATTTGTGGAACTTTCATTGAAATATATTTTTAATGGTTCTAAGAAGTTACTGCGATAATTAGAGTGTGCACTAAGCCTCTTTTCATGAAACTTTTCAATGACTATTACTGTCTAAAATACTTAATAATGATGGCAGAAAATATAACTTCTCTGTTCTACAGAACAGAGATGTACGATGACACACAAAGCTGAAGGAACTTCAGCACAGTGAATAGTTGCTTTGATAGAAAGGAGTCAATAATAGGAGGTAGGTTTAGGAAACATAAAGTAGTACATATGAACAACATGGGGAAATAGGAGATAAGAATGAGATGAATGAAAAGATAGAAGACAGGTAACAAAAACACATAAATTCATGGTTTAAACCAAAAGGAAGTCAGAAGTCACAGCGTTTACAATTCTAAATCTGTTATGGTTTTATGATAAGAAATGATTTAATTAAAAAAAATACAAAAGAGAATTCTTGGTGTGAAGGAAATCATATGTGCTAGATGAGAAGCTCCAATTAGCAGGATATGAATTTTTTCTTATTGTTGTGCTGGGTGTACATTGTGACATTTACAAAAGTTCTTACAATATGTCAAATATATCATACTTGAATTCACCCCCTCCCTCAGTCTATCTTTTTTTCTTTTGATAGGACAGGGGTTTGAACTTAGGACTTTGCCCTTGCACAGCAGGTGCTCTACTGTTTGAACCATGCCTCCAGTTCATTTTGCTCTGTATAATTTTAGAGATGGAGTCTCATGAACTACTTGTTTTAGCTGGCCTTGAACTACAATCCTCCTGATCTCAGCATCCCAAGTACCTAGGATTACAGGGATGAACCACCAGCACCCAGCAGGATGGGAATCTTAAAACAGAGTGAAATATAGAGAAGGGCATTAAGGCTCTCTCTCTCTTCACAGAATGAGTGTTTTTGTTTCCTCTTTGAATCTCATATTTGACAATTCTATAGAATGCTCTTACTGCTTATTCACAGTAAAAAGCAGAGGTATGTTTTAGTGTAGTGACGCTAATGGGGAATCTGTTCCCTATTACCATGAAGAGAGATGTTTCACAGGTTTGGGCATTAGAATTTGCTTTCTTCTGCTTTCTGGTGTTCACATTGTGCAATTATTTTCCTCTCCCCACCACTTATGAAATTCTTCCATTGGCCAACTTATTGAGGGAAGAGTAGAAAAATTGTGTGAGGGAAGAGGTATCGAGGTATGTGTGTGTTTATGTCCGTGTGTGAAAAAAATAGCAAGTGACTTATAATGTGCTGGCATTTTCTAAAAAAGGTGCTTCTATATGTTTTAGCATTTCTGTTTTTGTTAGCATTGGTTTCCCACAACAATCCTCTGAAGTATTATTACCCCAGTTTTACTGAAGAAAAATGCAAAGAAAAGAAAAAAACAGAGGAAATAATTTGTCTAAATCATGCACCAAATATAATGAAAAGGGAAGGCTATCCTTGGCAATCAATGCTATTTTGATCAGGAAACATGAAGACCAATCTTACTTGACTAGGTTACCTAGATACCAATGATGATTCCCTTTACAATAGACCAGATTTTAATGACCCATGGAATTAAAGTGCTACAAAACATATCATTCTCTTTCTTCCTTTATTTTTGTTCCTTCTGGCTCTTCAGGATCTCCTGGTGTATCTCCTCCTTGGCGACTCATTGCTGTGACTTTGGGAATCCTATGCTTGGTCATACTGGTGATAGTTTTGGTCCTGGTTGCCCTAGGTGAGTATGGAGGTGGGGAGGAGATTAATGGCAGCCAGGCAGTTAATAAGCATTTAATATGTTCCAGGCACTCTTCTAAAGGATTAGCACGCATGATCTAATGTAATCTGATCACCTAGCTGAGATAGTGCTATTAATTTACATTTCCACAGTCACAGACTAGTTGGTAGTGGGATCACGATTACAAGTTTGGGTAATCTGTTCTTTAAAAAATACTCATATTCCTAACTACATTACTCTGTTACCTCCTTTGAATTTCTGGTCCCCAAACTGTTGAATTTGAAGGATAAATTAATGGAAGGAAACCTGTGAAGCTGGAGAAGGCAATACAGAATGAATCTATCTTTCTAGTGAAATAGATTCACTAAATGGACTATAAGCTATTTTTATAAACCTCATGGTTTATGGAAATTGGGTTGCACCTGATCTTTGATAGAAAGTTCCTTGAATATTCCAGGAATTGCCTAAGGCAATTAATAAGTACTAAATACACATTTTGTGATAGTTGAATAGATTGCTTTGGATTTTTATTATTGCTCATGAATTCTGTTGTCAATAAAATTTTATTATGCTTTCAGAGTGTTCATGAGATTCCTTAGTTAGTCAAATGTTTATTGAGTATGAGTACATTCTGTGTTATAGCTCATGGAGAAGTACTTGAGTTCTCATTTTTTTCTCTCATCTTATTTTTAAATAATAGAAAAAATAGAATTATTTTCAAATTTTATACAATTGATTCTACGCCATTTGTGTCCTGCTGCCTCCTTTACAGAAGTTATTTCTATCTATCTATCTATCTATCTATCTATGATCTATCAATACTTTGTCTGCACTAGCAAAATATCATCTAGTTATCATTAATCAAAGATGCTGCCCTTTATATTCCAATAAAATATGTGTTTTTAAATTTTAATTAATATTTTTATTTTATGTTTGAATTAGTATATTAATATGAGGGCATTTTCTTGTGATAATTCCATACATGAATACAGTATAATCTGAACAAGTTTACCTCCTACATTATATTACTATTCTCTCCTTCTACTCCTTTTTCAAACAGGGTTTGATGGGTTTCATTATGATGTCTTAATATACAATACATAGTTAATATATATTTCACAATATATATCGTTATGTAGCATACTTTTCTCGTCTTTCATTTTTCAATAATTTTTAAATGCAGCAAATGATGTGGCTTTTTCCCCATCACTATTATTGTTCATGGTATATGAAGCATTTTGGAGATCCAATTCAGGGAGCAACCCACTGGAGAAAGACAACGTGCCATCAAGAAATAAAGAGAATCACATTCAGCCCACAAAACCAGCGTTAGAAGAGAAAGTGGCTCTAACTAAGGCTCTCAAAACCACAGGCAAGGGCAGCATTAAAGGCCTAATGGAATCCTTGATCCAAGAGGGTTAATTTCTTGGTGCTTCAGCTTGGGTTTTTGGGGGATGAAGAATGTGTTGTCCATTTAAGGCAAACACACTGATCAGTATTATCCTAGCGTAATGTTCAACTTTCAGGCATACAATAAAATGATTTCATAGACTGAACACTTCTAAGTTGAACTTATTTTTTTTAAATCAGTAACAGATTTATCTCCTGCTGTATGCTTAGACCTACAGAAGATTGTATAATTTGATACAAAGTAAAGAAAAATGTTTTCTTCACATAGAACGGATATTTTTGAAGTGAAACACTTTGAGTAGGAAATAGGACTAAAGAAAGGAAAATGTTGGTAAGAATTAAAACACTAGAAAAAAGCATAGAAAAGAGGTAGGCTTAGCACCTATATTCCTGAAAACTCTGGATAAATGTGTTTGTCTTTACTCATGTCATTTAATTGGTTTTATTAAAAATTTGATATATACTTGGCTTTTATTTCTAATTGCATCACACTTGACGATGTCACTATCTTGACTTAAATTTTCCATTTCTGCATTCGTGCCTCTTATTTTTATCACATAGCTATAATACACAACAAAGATTCTTTGAAATGTAAATAATTGCCCTTATGTTTTTCTTCCATAAAATAGATTTCTTATCATAAAATAACTTGAATGACACGAAATTACAGTGTAACCCAAAGCTTGGTGTTGGTGTGTTTATTATAGGGAGTTGAAGTACAGAAAGGGAGTTCTGGGCTAAATTTGAAGTAATGGAAAACAACCAAGAAGGAAAAGATGGTTGGCTGTCTATAACACTGTAGTTACTCTAATTTAAAAAATTTAAGTGGATGAGGGGATTTGAATGTACTCTGTAAAGTCCTATCCATATAGTTTTAATGAAAATGAGATGCATTAATGTTAATTCATTGATTAATTTATTAAGTTCATTAGATAAATGGTACCTACTCTAAAAGAATGAGTTGGTATACCATAACTTTATGATATTATATTTTATTTCCAGGAGTCTTTTCTGGTCCTTGTCCCTCTAATTGGATCACACATGAGAAGAGCTGTTACCTGTTTAGCATGTCACTAGACTCTTGGTATGGAAGTAAGAGAGGATGTTCTCAGCTGGACTCTAATCTCTTGAAGATAGATACCTCAGAAGAACTTGTAAGTGCAGACTTAAGCTGTAATTATCTATCATCTTTATTAAGAGAGATGTTCACACAATAACTATGCTTTCCATAATTGAAATGGTACTACTCAAGAAGCATGTAAGGTACATATTATGTGCATTTATTTTAATTCATTCATTTAAAACTAACCACATTTTATTTTAAAATAGATCCTTTCTTATACAATTCATGCTTGATCGACTATAATAATCAGAACTCTATTAAGTTTTGTAGGTTTACATTTTAATTTCCAAATTTGGTGGAGTGAGACAGAAAATTCTTCCAGTTGTCATCAAGTAACAGCATTGGTAATACACAAAATAAATTATTTTGTCTTGGCAAGATACTAGGAAAGGAAAAGAGTTTAAAAAGTAATCTTGCTTGCTGGGCTTATATGATTTTTTAAGAAAAAAAATGGTTGTTAAAAATTAAATATCTGATACTGACAACAAACAATATAGAGAGATCCCTGTGGACATAAGAAATTTTACAGAAAAAGTAGGGCTTACAATGCATAATGATTGAAAGGCAGAACTTAGGTGAGCTATGAAAAGGGAGTAACAGGAAACATTGTACATTATATAGCTAAACTAATCTGTAACTTCCAATCTACTTTCACTACTCTGATTTCTTGTTTCTGTAATGTCATTCCCAATCATTATAGTTCATATTTCAGTTAATGTAAGTAGTCATATTTAAAAAAAAGTAGACATATGGCAAAGGAAGAGCATTGTACTAGAAATCTGTGTGGCTTTCAGACCAACTTGTAATTGACATTAAGCCATCCTATATTTGTGAGCAATTCACATATCATCATGGAATCCCAGACGATTTATTAAAAAAAAATATCCAGTGAGAGGGCTGGAGATGTGGCTCAGTGATAAAGCTCTTGCCTAGCATGCACAAGGCCTTGGGTTTGATCCCCAGTATCACAGAAAAGAAAACAAACAAAATCCACTTCTGAGAAGCATTTCTTGACAAAGCTAACATTCATTTACATTTCTGATTTGTGAGAAAGTAGTCACCTATCACCTGTGAAAATTGTCTAGGGAGCCTGTCTTCCTTGGATTTTGTCAGGTTTGTTGAATGGAGGTCACACATTAACATTATAAACCTATACTTTATTGATGCTTTAAATCTGTTCTCTATGGGGAAATTAAATGACAATGACTATAAAGAAGTGAACTATACTCTTTGAGACATTAAATGACAATGACT